GCTTGTTTTCTTACTTTCTCTCTCTCTCTCTCTCTCTCTCTCTCTCTCTCTCTCTCGTTCTGTCCTTCTCTGGTCAAATTTAAATAAATAAATAAAGTTAAAATAAAAGCTTAAAAAATTATGGAATGCTACAGTATCACAGAACTGTAGGGATCTTGTCTTTTGTACTTTTCAGAAACTTTCGATTTTCTCAAAGTGTAAATACACTTGTGAAATTCATTTCTAATGGATCAGGGTGGGTACAGATGGAGGGACCGTGGGGGAGCGGAAGGCACAGGCCCAGCTGGCCCTAGCTGTGTCTGACTGTATATTGCTACCTCACGGGAACAGTGTGCGACTCGGAGAGGAAGATCGGCCGCCATAGCAGTTTAAAGAAAAAAAATAAGAATTCAGAGGTGCATGCTAGTCGCGTCTCCCCATGCCACACGGCATGTGTGGGGGATAGTGAGCGAGCCCTTTCTGAAGAGGTTGGCCTCTCCAGTACTGTCAGGCTGCCTGTGTCAGGGCATGAGCGTCGACTCCTGTTGATTTAATTTGTAACTTTCGATCACAGGCCAGGAGAGGCTGTGCAAAAGATTCTTACAGAGGTGTAGCTCAGCTCTCATGACAATGGTACTTTCATTTTAAATGACAACTTGTTCTTCGATTCAGAACACAGCCCCAGAGTTGAAGGAGTCCATTCTCATAGGGACTTAGCTTGCACTGTGCAGACTGAGCAGGCTTTGTCCCTGTCCCACGAGTCTTCTTGAAATGCCTGCACCCCTCGTCCTGCCTCACAGTGTTTGTGACATTCATCCGGATCTCATTTTGTCTTTCAAAACGACCTTTCAGTTAGGTGCTCTTCTGTAGATTTCTTAGGAAAAGTAAAGTTCTCATCACTTGAAGCTGTCCGTGGGCTGCAGCAGCCCACAGGGCAAGGAGTCTGGGTCTGCTGTCACGCAAAGGCGTGCAGCGCCCAGGCGAGGCCGCTGTAAGCACGCGCGTGGAAGACATTGTTTGTTTTTGCACTCACAGCCTGACTTAGCAGCCAATGAAGCCCAGCTTCTGAGGAAGATCCAGCTGCTGTGCCTCATGGAGGTAAGCGAGTGGCCAGCCCCACCTCCTTTGCCGGGGAGGCCTTGGCCTGCTGTTCCGGCGGGTCGGCTGGGTTCCTGTGAGCTGTCCAAGACTCTCCTGAGGCTTTCACGGTTCTCTTTCCACCCCAGCCCCCTCCCTGCCATCTTCCTTTTTCCTTTGCCACCACTGGCTTTCTTAGCTCAGACGGCCCTTCCTCAGAGCGGTCTTCCTTGACTGACGGAGCCCCACTAGCTGCCCCTGCCACTAAGGGACCTGCCTCCTCGGGGCACTGCGTCTCTGCATGCCCCTCTGCTCCTTCCCAGGACAGTTTAAACTTCTTGGGGAAACCGCCCTTGTGTTTCTGGGTCACCATGGTACCCATGGCACGTGGAGCCCTCAGGTACTCGCTCCAGTAATGAGGAACGGTAGTTCTGAAAATCCCTATAGAGCTTATTCTGCCTTTAATCTTACCTAGCGTTGAAAGCTTGTCTTAGTAAGATAGTAAGACAACTGTAGTATGTGGAATACTAATGGGATGACCTCCATCTTCAGAGCAAGTGTTGACGAATTTGTCAGGCAGCTCTCTGGCAATTTTATTTGGAAAAATAGTTTTAAGAGTGAATAAACTTTTTTCAGATGACTTTCACACGACCTGCCAATCACAGACAACTCACTTTTGAAGAAATCGCCAAGAGTGCTAAGATCACAGTGAACGAGGTATGGCTGTTGGGTGTGGGATGTTCCAGGGGCACCACGGACACCCAGACCCGCAGGTGCTCAGTCCCTTATGTAACTCGCACAGCGTTTCCACAGAACCTGTACACATCTCCCCCAGACTTTCCATTCCTGATAAGGGCACACGCATGTACACACACGTGAGAGAGCGAGGGGCCCCTCCCTCCCACAGCTGCTGCTCACACCGCAGTCCCCTTTCCCTGGCCTCAGGATCTAAGCGTGTACGTGCGCACCCAGGCTGAGGGTGCAAACCTTGGTGGGCCATGCGATTCCATGCAGCAGTCAGTGTTACCACAGAGGCTAGGCCCCTCCTGTGTACTGTAACTCACTCTAGTTTATGTGTAATGCCCGAGACAGTGTAAGTGTTATGTAAATGGTTGTTATATTGTTGGAGAATAAGGACATGGAGAAAAATCTGTTCATCACGGACACAAGCGGGTTTTCCTGAATATGTCTCGTCCTTGGTTCAATCTGCAGGTGTAGAACCGGGGGTAGGGAGGGCTGACCGTATGTCCAGAGTTGCCTGGGCCATGCTGTAGCCGAGTGAGTTAAGCCCTGTGCATGGGGAACTGGCTCCCATATGGCTGACTGGGGTTTAAACCCTGGACCTGGCAGCTTGAAAACGCACCTGACATGTGTTTGTGTGCACCAAGTGCTGACGGGGTGGGGAGCTGGACAAAACTCCGGTGAGGCCGCACGCCGTGGGGCACTCCCACGTGCCCTCTGAGGGTCCCGGGGTATGTCCGCTGTCCCACGCAGTGCCTCTGTGTGACAGGTGGAGCTGCTGGTGATGAAGGCCCTGTCGGCGGGGCTGGTGAAAGGCAGCATCGACGAGGTGGACAAGCGCGTCCACATGACCTGGGCGCAGCCCCGCGTGCTGGATCTGCAGCAGGTGATGTGGCTGAAATGCGAACTCCACGCCGGGGCTTTGGGGGTGGTTTGATGCTGTCCGGATTGTACTGGGTGGAAGCCATTTAGGAAGGAAGCGTGGTTAGACAAGAGGTTTTGGAGAATGAATTAGGGTTCTTCAGGAACCGAAATTAACATAAGCCTAAGGTTTGAACCCTGCATTTAAAAGCTTATGATGACAGCACTGCTGGTGGCACTGAGGCCTTTTAATCCTAAAATTGGTACCCTGATCGGGTATGTTCCTGGTTCTGGGACTTGAGCTCAAATCCATCTTGTTCACATTTGCTAGAAATGTAATCCCGTGGATTTCCTCTATTCTTGCCTGTTTTCTTTCATGACATTTTTAAAGCCTCCTTGTGATAAGATTGACCATCGCACACCCCCAGCCCACCAGCTCTGATGTCCTTTTTATTGGTGCTGCCCTAAAGAATTAGCTGGAGATGTAGAGCTGCCCCGTCAGGCGCCGCGGGTTAGGTACGGGAACTGGCTCCCGTGTGCCTTAACGCCGTGTGGTCCCGCTTGCTCTTCAGATCAGGGGCATGAAGGACCGCCTGGAGCTCTGGTGCACTGACGTGAAGAGCATGGAGATGCTGGTGGAGCACCAGGCCCACGACATCCTCACCTAGGTCCCCGGGCCCTGCCGCCCCTGCCTGGCCTGGGGAGCGCTCTGTGGCTGATGAAACCGTCAGCTGAGAAGATCTGTGTGGACTTGGGGTAGGGGGTGGCGTCCTGTCTGGAGTAGGGGCTGTTCCTGCTGGAAAACAGAGAACTCACTGACAGGGACCGTCCCGCAAGGACGCCCCTTTGTGTCTCTGGTGGCCTGCAGTGTGTGTGTGGGGGCGGGGAGAGACCCAGGTCTCAGATGAGGGAGAGCCGGAGTGTGAGCGAGGGTGTGGCCCTCAAACTGGTGGGCTTACCCCGCTCCACCTCCACCCGCATGGTCGTCTTTCCAGTATGGCTCAAGAATGTTCCTATAATAAATGCCTTTGCTTTGTTCTTTGTGTGAGTTTCTTTCTCGGGTTCAGCTTCCAGGTCAAGCCTGTGCCTAAAAAGATTGAAAAACTTGACCTGGAACTAGGGAGGGCCTGGCCGGGATTCGGCCTGGGCCACTCTCCTCCCTGCACATATGGGGGGGAGGGCAGAGGCCAGCACAGGGCCGCTGAGAACGGAAGCCCTGTCTGTATTATCAGTCCCAGGGACACAAGGTGTCCCGCTCTCTCCCCAGCCCATCGGGGGCCTTCTCTGACCCGGCATCCACACCTTTGCCTCCAGGCATCCCTCAGGTAGCCCTACTGGCTGCAGCAAGCTGGTGTGCCCCCGACCTGGCACAGTTTGGTGCTGGGGTCTAGAGGAACCCACCGTGTGGCGCCCAGGCCGGGAGGAGGAAGCACAGACACAGCACGGCGGGCGCTCTGGTGGAGGAGGGCTTTAATGCAGTCTGGGGGTGTACCCAGGGCCCAGTCTTCACGCCGAGCTCTTCTTGTAGCTCTCCAGGTGGGCTAAGACCCAGCCTGCGGGAGTCAGGAAGCTGACGAACAGCAGGGAGAGCCCCACGGCCTGCTCCTGGGAGGAAGAGCACACATGAGTTCACTGGCCGGAGAGGGAGTGTCTGGCAGCAGGGCTCGGTCCTAGAGCTCAGACTGCCCTGCCTGCCCCCCACGGACTTGGCTGCCAGCCTTCTCACGGGCAGACCGCAAGCAGCGAGCATCCGCATCGCCCATGTGGTTGGCAGCCTCAGGGAGACCAGAGGTCAGTGCCCTGGGATGGCCCCAGGTGCAGTGGACACAGCGGGTACTGTGCAGCAGGTGCCTCAGACCAAACCGGGCCTTTCGTTCATTTTTAAATTATTAATTTGACCAGCAAGGGACAGAGCAAGAGAGAAAGTGAGAAAGCAAGCCGCCAGGTCCTGGACTCAAACCGCAGTCAGACAGGTGGGAGCCCAGCACCCTTAGGCACCGTGCCACCCGCTGGCCCCAGTGCCCTTTCTTTAAGTGGCAG